TCACTCGCTCTGTACATCCAGCCGTTTCACGAACAGATAAACGGGGTACTCGGCGAAATCTTCGGGGCGATAACATTACCACGGCTGCAGTCTTTGACGCTGCATCACGAATGGTACACCCTCTCCCCAGTCTGGAGCCCTACTTCGTTCTTCGACTTCGCCTCTCGGTCATCGCTGCACACGAATCTCATCCAGCTTGACCTGCGGATTATAATCTCGGAGGATGAACTACTGCAGTGTCTCGTGGTATTGCCGCTATTGCAACACCTCACTATTGCGGACTCCGTGGGCTATGGGACTCCGCCCTTGGTGACGGATCACCTACTCCGGCGTCTCGCTTGGATTAGCGACGAGGATTGTCTTATCCCTCGCCTCCATTCCTTCACATGCACCTCCCTCCGCACTTTCACCGACGAGGTGCTCTCGGAATTCCTAACATCGCGGGCAGTCCCTCGGCTTCGTTCAGAGAACGACGGTAAACCGTTCCACACAACGGTCTGGCGGCTATTTACCTACAGCCGCGAATTATCTCCGTGGTTCCATAACCAAGTACATGAGCTTATCAAACGCGGGGACCTAGTTTTCGAGGACGGCTTGGACCCCTCTCAGCTTGCGAACCCAACCTTATGGAATCATGGTAGCCCCGTCACGGCATCCTCTGGTTCTCGTTCTCGTTCTCGCTCCCCGTCCCCCGCCTCGATGGGGTTCGTTCCGATTCATCGTTCTTTGTCTACTGTAACGGAGCGAACGGAGGAGGAAGATCTTTGGTAGTCGCCAGCCTGAGTACTTTGCGTTTTATCATTACCTGTTGTATCTGTTGTGCGTACAGACTGAGCCTCTGCGCCCAAAAGCCAAAATGGTGTTCACAATTATAATATTTGAAAGCCGGGAAGCGGGCAAGATGTGCACTATCATCAAACTCGAATTATATATTACCGCTATTCCCTCGGTGCATAAAAATCAATCACCCGAAAACCAGCAACGGGCGCAACGGTCATAAGAGGCCTGCGGGCGCCTAATTCGTGGTCATTTGAGCAGATTTTTTCTCCGAGTCAAATTTTAACCGACCTACTTACATTAATGACTGATTGGTTGATCAGAGTCAACGATGGGGCACCACAAGTCGCCCAAAAGGTCCATAATGACTCGGAACGAACGCCTAAATGAACGGAAGATGGCGACATGAGTAGCCGCCGAGAACTTCATCTGTCTATCAGCGGCGATTAGATACTTGGGGGGTTGATTGGAATGGAAAAATTACGGGATAGAAAACGTGGAAGGGGCGTGGATTCTTGTGATTTCTGAAAGGGCTAGCAGGATCCGATAGCAGCTGGTTGAACGCGTGTAATCGGTGAGGCGTCGCAGACAGATGAGTCTGACGCGTCCCCGAGTCATCGTGTTTGATGCGTCATTTTGATTCCGCCAGCGGGGAAAATGTTGCAGGGCTGCCAAAGGGTTGCGGACAGTGCGGAATGTCAGGCACGGCCCACGTCAAGTCGAAGTTATTAACGGACAAGATCGCCGGGCTGAGGATGGATACGTCGCAAGAGGGATAGTGTGGCCACCCCCTGAAAATACAAGGCAGAACAGCACAAGCGACGAAAAAGGACAAGGGTTGGCTGATCCAAAGCGGAAGATCGAAGGGGAGTTGTCCAAAAAGGGAATTGCTGCCGCGGATCAGCCAAGGATGAGCAAACGCGGGGGAACAAACACGTGGCGGTATAAAAAAATCGCGCGTCTACACAATGTCCCCTTCTCCTGTCCTCCTCCTCCTCGTGCCTTTAATCCCTCGTTTGGCCGATTTTCCGCTGAACCACTTTGTGTCCTCGAGATCAGGGCCGACGATATCCAGCCTTTGTCCGCAATCCACGCCATCCTAGCGCGAAGCAAGGGACTTGAAAGATGACCGAGTATGACTTTAGCGAAGAAGCGTACAAGCGGTGTGTCGAGCTCCATTGTTGACTTCAACAGAATCTCATCGTCATCATGTACTTTAACTTTTAGACACTATGAAACGCAGGCTCGCATATCGAAATGGACACAAAATACAACCCGCGTTCCACCGGCGGACCCTTTTACCCCGGCCACACCCATGAGTCCAAATGTTGTTCCTTTGCCGGACTCGTCCAAACATCGCCGCTCGCGATCAAGCGACCCAAACAAGGAAGAAAAACATCGCAAGAGCTCCAGGTCTAGATCGAGGAAACGGTCTCCTTCGCCGCCGCCGCCCCTACCCACTGAACGTAGTCGCAGCATGGGACCCCCGCGGCCACGCACGGCGCCCCCGAGGGGTGACGTTCAGCAACCCGGGCTACCCGGTCCAAGTCCATTTTATCTCGCGCCTGTACAACCACCGGTGAATTATACATATGCTCCCGGCTACCATCCACCTCCTCCACTGCCATCTCCACATCACAATCGTTCGCGCTCTAGTGTCGCCACGCTACCGCCGGCACCCCCACTAGGCACGCGCATGCGCAGCTATTCCGGCGCGCCGCCGCCGCCCATCCGCTCAGATACGTACCCGTATGCATCTGGCAACAAAGGCTATATGTACCATATGCCCCCTACGACTCCTCCGGGATATGTATATGGGCCGACACCGATACCCCCACCGAGGCAGGCGAGCTCACCGCATTTGCCTGCCCCGAGACCGATGTATGGCGTGCCACCGCCGGTGTACGAGCCTGCGCCGAAGCAGGTTCCGCTGCTCAAACGGGTGTTTGGACTCGGCGGGAAGAATCGCGAGCGGAGTCACAGTTCCGCTAGTAGGGATGGTAAGGGGTGGAAGTGGTGATGTGGTTGGAATTTTTCACCTCTCCCCAGAATCGCAACAGACATCTCAGCCCTCTTCACCGCCGTTCCCGATACCCAACGACACATTTACAATATCGCCATAAAACTCTCGCCCGGCCCGCAGCTTACAATGTCTCCAATCTTAAACCTCCTATCTGCACATGTACCCTTATCAATACTACTGTATCTTAACGCCTGCGCTTCCGCTTTCGGTCATCTGGATTCCCGCATTCATATGGCTATCTTCGTTGTAGCTTAATTCCGGGTCTCTCATCATCTCCGGGAATGAGTCCATCAAGTCAAGTTGCATCTGGTCGTTGAGATCTGAGTAAGTCAGCCGAATGGACGGTAAGAACTAAGCTATCCCGCACAGAATTTAACCCAGGGTTGGTTGAGTTTTGCTATGGTAACCGTAAGACTGATCTTGCGTCGTGATCTAGCTCCTGAGGACTAAGATCAGCGACAAGACTCTATTCTGGAGGACATACCGGCAATGTGGTGAAAAGTAAAAAACAACTACTAACCCGTTTATTCGAACGCCGGGAATCGAACCCGGATCTCCTGCTGAATTCCAGATGACGGGAATCAATTTCTGCAGGCGTGCACGATGCACTACATCCGATTCCTTCTCTTGCTTACTTGAACGTCTACGGATTCAAGAATTTCGTGTGAATGGTAAGATGAACGGTTTTTCTTTTCAACCCAGCCTGGCCATCGTTGAATGACCCATGAGAGACAGTGAGTGGTCGCGTCGCTTGGTTGGATAGTAACTCACCTCCTCTACCTGTGAACGCAGAGGCATGAAAGTACGAGGCAAAACGCGGCGTGATGTCATCAATGTGCGGTGAACCAAAACCTCGTTGGTTGAAAGTTGTATCTTTCTGCCTGTCCCGGAAGGTTTTTCCACGGGTTCTTCTGAAGAAAGATAAGGGACCGAGCCATGAGTATGTTATCAACGCGAAAGAAAAATAAAAGTCTTATCTCATCGCTTTATTTGAACGCCGGGAGTCGAACCCGCAATTAATTCCTGCCGCAGCATAATTCTGGAGTCACCGTTGACTTTCTGCAGGCGTGCGACGTGCACCACGTTCGATTTCTCCACCTTGAGTAAGTCAGGCGTTTTTCAGCTAACGAGAACCCATCTAAAACTGAACCTGGGTCAGGCGAGCTTTGTGAGATTTTACAACTGTGGAACCCCTTGAAAATCAGGACAAGGGCGACGCGAGTTGGGCAGGAAGAAGAACTTTGGCAACTCTCGATAAATTTTCCATCCTACCGACTCACAATAGCGAACCAAAAAAAGTCACGACGCATCGGCCTATTCGAACGCCGGGAATCGAACCCGGACCCTGCGTAGCTGAATGGTACGGATACAATTTTTGCAGGCGTGCCCCACACTACGTTCGAGTTATTGATCTGTAGTTTCTGAACCCACCACCGACAGGTCCGTTGAATTTTATTTTACAACGAAGTGCTCTGAGTTGATATCCCGGTGACCCGATCTAGTCCATGGAAAATCGGGTGAGTTATGCGGAACGAAACACCTACCAACCCTGTAGTAACCCAGAGGCGGCAAAGAGCCCTCGACCCCCCAATAAAAAGAAAACCTCTTAGGGTTGGGCTGCCATATTCAAACAGGGGAGTCGAGCCCGAAACTCCTGCCGGGGAATGCGAAGAAGTCCTGACTTCTGCAGGTGTACCACGTTCAGAGTTCCATGGTATATAGGCTTCGGTGAGTGGGTGGATAATCTTGAACCAAATTTTGGGCGCACTCAACGAAGGCTTCATGAAGGTAGGAGGAATGCCAAGGAGTAAACCTGGGGATGTGTTATCGCGGCAAGGCAATGATAAAAAATATCATCGTGGCAAGTCCCCATTCGAACGCCGGGAGTCGAACCCGAACCTCCTACATAGAGATACATACTTCGTACAGACGTATTTCCGCAGGCGTGCGCCCCGCACCAAATTCGATTTCTTGATCCTGGAATTAGCCTCGGCCAGATGGTGGGTTTTGATTTGAGGCTGCAGTGAACCAGAATCCAAGGATGAACTTGGCCATGGTTGGACTCGGGTGAGGGTTGGAATAAATATTTTTACGACTAACGACCCTACGGGGAATCAGCAAAGGAAATTAGTGCACGGGAAGGAGCACCGACCATGCCCTTGCGGCGGCAAACGAATAAAAACCTCATAGATTCCGGATATTCCAACGCCGGGAGTCGAACCCGGGACTCCTGCAGTATCGTCGAATAAACAGCGCGCAATTGCCGCAAGCGTGCGCTGTGCACCACGTTGGATTCCCTTGCTACGGTGGTGGCATGGGTAGGGAGTGAGCATGAGTGATTAATGTCTGGTGAATCCGCACTAAATTAGCGACGCGGAGATGGAAGAACAAAAGGTACGCATTTTTGGCATGACCCCGAGAGTAGTGCTTCAAGTACTCATCTCAATTGCAGCAGACGCAACAGATACGAAAGGCAAGATTTAAAAAGCATCGATGAGTTCTCATCCATATTCGAGACGCCGGGAGTCGAACCCAGAGAGAGTTGTTGCCTGCATTTAATTTGGTATTGACAGTCTCGAAATTGGCCGCAGGTGTACACCGTGTACTTCGTCCGAGTTGTTGTTTGTTCGAGTGCTGCTATTGCCACCTGGTGCAGATGCGGCTTGGATGTCATGCGGCAGTGAAATTCAAAGCCAGCCACCAGCGGGAAGAAATAAATGAAAGTTTTGGGCGGCGAAAAGGTGAGACTCTTTCATTATTACCTGGGTGAAGTGCTAGACCGCATTCCTCGAGCTGTGAACGCGTTCGTGACCTTCGACATGAGCGCAAGAGGCAAGAAGGCCGTGATGTCATCGCTTATGCGTTGTTTGCCTGCACCTTCCCGCACCCTCTCTTCTACAGTCATCCCCAAGTCATCCCTCGCACTCCCAAATCTAGAGTCATTATAACGGCTCGTCACTGCACCAAGTTGGATTCGACGTCTGTCTGCCACCGCGTCTCTGTCAAACTTGCACGAAATTCAACAAACTTGGGATTTTTATCTCTAATTCCATCCATCGCCGCGCGTTAACATGACTTGACTATGGCGACAAATCTGGTCCCCACAATCTTCTCCGCCGCGGCCCCCGCCACCCCGCCGACGCAATGAACGGTACTCACGTCACACACATGCCCGTCAGTACGGCTGCCAACACAAGAGCAAGCGCGCTCCTGGCCAGTGCGCGATCGTATTTGCCGTCGCTCGAGCATGCGAAGGCGTATCTGCCTGAGGGCGTTGCGGCATATTTGCGTGCGTCCTATGGTACACATTGATGAATGGGTAAGTACTCATTTATGTGAGCGCGATGTAGCTTCGTCCGAATCCCCATCCACCGCGTCGCACCCGTCGACGTCGGGCACGCCACCACCGTTCCGTACACCGCTTTCGCGCTCGAGCCCTCACGGTAAACACCAACACCAACACTAGCAGCATCACCGTCGCTGTCGGGCACGGTGCCTCTGTGCCGTATGCAGAGTCCCGCCAGAGCCCTATTCAATCCTCCTTCACATCAAGCACCCACTCCGGCCCAGGGCTCGCTAGCCTCGGCGCGGGTGTGAGCTTCTCATTGTCCCCAGCGCACTCGACGACAGCACGCATGGGCCACCCCGCGTCTATGAACGGCGTCGCACCGCGGAGGGGTTGCTGGCATCGCATCCCGGCGTCGATGCCGATGCGTACGCCTTGTGCGGATCTGGGACCGCCGGGACCCCCATCGTGCAACCGCCTCCCGCGCTGAAGTCGAGCGAGAGTACCGAGCGCGCGCTGGCGGCGGAGACGCAGCACCCCGTGTCGTCCCCGCTCTCTGGCGCCGTAGGCGTTTCCGCCTTCGGTAAAGGCGCCACCGCGCGCCCCGCCCATCTCAGGCGTACTTGCATCTCGGGCCCAGCGGCCAAGCCGTATGTCAATGTGCACGACGTCGTCTCCTCTTCGTTCTCTGGGCTACTACCCAGTAAACCGACCCCGAATCCCGACCTACTCCCCTCGTACCTTGCCGCGGGGCCACAGCCGCCCGTCAATGCGTGTTCTTCTATTTCGACTACGCTCTTCTATTTCGACTACGCAGACGCCGGACGGCAACGACCCTAACGTGCACACCCACCTCACACAAAGTCTGGATGAGGCGGCCCGACTACTCTCGCTGTTCCCCTTCCCTCTTCCTCTCCTTTTACCATAGATACTGCGTACGCCGCGTCGAGCGAGAGCGATTTTGCTTCTCCCCCTGCTTCCTCACTACGTAGCCGGCATCGACGTTTCCGCCTTTCGCGGGCGACCTCGGCCTTCGTCTCGGGCTCAGCGCGGGTGCGGGGCTCGGCGGCCCTCAATTCCTCCCGACTGGTGGACGTAGTCCCGACGCGTAATTTTGATAACTCTCCACACCATCTTACTTTTTCGCACGCGCGCGCGGCCTCAAGCAAAGAAGACGAATAATGAAGCAGAGCTCTTAACATTCGACTCCTCGCCTCGGGTTTGTGCTTCTCGTGGTTAGCCGAGTCTTTGCCGCGCAAGCCGATCGGCCGGCATCGTGATGATTCTCACGGTTCAAGCTTGGATGGAGGCGGGAGCAAAATCGGGCCAAACGCGGCCGAAAAACCAAGTACGATGAGCCTCACTCTCCTTTCGCTAGTCTCTCAAAGTCAAACTCTAGAAAGATTGAATGAGACCAGTCGTCGATGCAATTTTATATAGATAAATAATATATAGTTGAGGTAGAAGATCTATGGCCAGGTTCAATCTAAACCCTTGACAAAATCTGAAACCTCGGTTAGAACGACGAAACGGAGTCATTTCTCCTTCAACCCCACCTTGTCCATGCGAATTCCATATTCCACGTCGCGGAGGTCATCCCCGAAATCCTGTGTCTGATACGTCTAATAAATTAAATGCTAAGCGCCAGACACCAGGATAACTTTGTCCATACCTCGTTGCTTACTATGGTGTCCTGGCAGATTTAAATTGAACCAGGCATCAACAATAACCTCGGCGTTGCACTTACCTTGTTATCGCTAGTGAATCGACTGCTCAAATTTGATGGGTACCGCAAAGCCGACAGACCGCCAGATGCGGGGGCGGCGAGGATGTCCTTGAATCCGGCTCGCGCGTTGAGGGTAGACATCATGCAATTGGAGTACAACTTCGACAGGGGGATATTCCACAGGAAATTGCTGCCGTGTGCCGTCAGTGCGAGAGCTTACTGTACATGCATTCCAAGCTTACACTGTTTTACCCTGTAGAGGTTCAACATCAGCGATTTGCCCGAAAGTATCAGACCGTACGACGGGCTTACCTTCAAGAGGATAAAGCAAAGAATGTCCAATATGTTGACGATAGCACTGGTGGGGGAATTCTTTCAATACCATCCACGGTGTGAAACCCAAACTGATACGCACGTAATTACACCCGTCTGAACAGTCACTGTGTTGTTCCCTCAGAACTCGCCGTCGCAAAGAAATGGTTGAACCACGCACTCCTCACAATTCGATCCACCACGCTATCTGTGCTCGCAAACCCAGTTTTCTTCTTCCTCTAAGGAGAAGGAATTTTGTGGTATGTAGTGGATCTTCGATCGGTGATGTGCGAAGACTCACCAAAGCCCAGGCTACACACACTGCGATGCAAAGGTCGGTTCCCACAGATGATGCGAGCCACACGGTTGCAGCATTGTATGCGCGGGGAATGTGATCCCACCGATGTGCGCCTGAAACTCGGACCTAACCATGGTTTTAATTCAGAGTTCCTTCTGAGGACTCGATGAGTGACCACGCACAATGGTCCATATCCCGCCGCCTGGCATATGTTTGATATAAGCTAGTTTGTTTGCTCAGGACGAGCGAGGCAGGTCACGCACCAAAAGAGACCGCGGACAAGAGTGCGAAGATGATAGGTAGGATCATGAGTCCGGTGAGGGCGCGGATACGCCAGATGAAGAACAGCTGGATTGGAAAGCCGACCAAGGTCTGGGGGAATCGGCATGTGCCCATGTTCTCTTTACCTTGACAAGATGGAGACTCACAACACAGAGAGGCTCTGCATCCGATGCGACAAACGGGTCAGCAGGCGCCTGGGACAAGGATGAATTCCTACGGGTTATGAAGACTGGCAAGTCAGTTAGCACACAGTTATTCGCTCGTGTGGAATGCTATCTTACGGGAAGGCAGGTTGCCTGGAATTGAACCGTACTCCAAGACCAGGGGCTGGTACATATACGCTATCTGAAGGACACCCAAGAGGTCAGCACCGAACCGGCTTAAAACCACATAAACCCACATCAAGCGCGCTGTTGGAACATTCTGCGAAGAGCACATAATAAACCTGAATGTTGGAGTGAGGAGGATTTATATTTTAAATGTGATGGCATTGACAAGAATCCGTATCCATAGGGCATCCCTGGAGCAGGACACGCAAGGGTCAATGACACACGAACTCGAGTGAAGACACGGCGCACCTCTTTGGCGATTGAAAGTAGGTCATCATCTTGTGTCTCTGTAAGTAAATATTCCTGCCCCATTGAACCGTAACTCACCTGAGCGATCAACAACTAAATATTCGTCCCACACAAAGTCAATACAATTATTACAAGATTGAAATTCGACGCACACCAAAGAGAATCAGGTTGAAGAAGACACCTATAGCCAAAGCACCAAGAGGTCAGAGAAGCAGAAACCAAGTGGGAACCCAACCGACCGATAAGTAATGGCCCGAATCTGAAGTGTGAAAGGTCAGTTCGTGTCTGCTGAATCCTGAGCTGCTGAAGAACGTACAGAAGCTGAACATCGATGATAGTTCCAAAAGGCGGAGGAGTCTGAGTGGGCGAAGACATGACCAGGACGATCGTCGAGGAAGAAGCCTGACAAAAGAAGGGGAACTATATGGTATACCGTTGCAACTTGCGACTTAAATGTGAAGACATCACAGTCCTTCAGTGATATTCATCTTACACAGGAAAAAAAACTGACATCTAGTGCTCGACCATGATCATCATGGTCCATCGCCGCATTAGCTCGGACCACGCCCTAGGAGGCCGAATGGTCCCCAGAGGATACCCACTACTGTACTATTTTGATGGAATGTTCAAGTGACGGGTGATGGAAGGTCGTGAACTGAACGACTTTGGTACAAGTGACGGTGACATTCGAATTTTTGGGCTCAAATAGGGGTAAAAATCTCGGCTGGCACTTGCCGGCCATCCCATTATGGTAATTTTGCGTGAGTGCCGAGAAATGAACACCAAGTCCAGGGAACACCTGTGGCGACGG